CAGTATATATATATATATATATATATATATATATATATATATATAAACTCTTTAGGCATTAAGCAACCATCTAGCAACCCCTCAGAATGCATTAGAAGCCCCATCGCAATCCTTTGGCAAACACCAACAACACCTGATCACGGGTTCTGTACCGACAAGGAGCACGCACATTATCTTCAGAAAATGTATGAACGTTGTTGTTAATATTTTTTGCTCTCTCTCACAGATTACCTGGCCCCACCTCGAGGATGTCCACTGCGGGCAGTGAGAGTTCTCCTCGAGGGTCCATCAGTTCAGCAGGGAATCGCCGCAGTCAGGTGTTCAGCGATAAAGCCAAACCTGCAGCAGCAGCTCAGGCCAAAGGTAAAGCCAACGTCACAGTCTTTAAAGTGAAATGACCTCTGAATCGAAACATTACTCATAATCTCATCAGAAAATGGCAGGTCAGGATTTAATTAAAGAGCATTTGTGTGGCAGCTGGCGTGTGAATGTAAAACAGTTTCTCTCTGACAGATTTGAACAAGCTTGTCTCTACAGAGTCCTTCCAGTTTATATTATCTGTGATTGTATCATGCCTAGGCAAATTAATCTATTTTCTGTATTTTATTTATTCAAAAAATGCTGACTAGCTAAAGCCCCTGGCAACGTTTAAAGAAAAATTAGATAATAAAAAAAGATAGTTTCAGATGGACTAGAAGAAAACTGTGTCTCGTGTTTTAGTTATGGATGGCAAGATTTGTGATATGAATGAGGTATGTTTATGATTTGTTTCTTTCTCCAAATTAAATTTATTTTGTCATTTGTATTTTGAAGAGTAATGGAGCAGTCTCCTCCATTTTAAGTAAAAGCTATGGAGCTAGTCTTTATTTATTCTGTGGACTGTGTGCATGTACACTACGTTTTCAAATTATTATTATGTTTTTAATCAATGTTAATACATTTATTCAGCAAAGATGCATTAAATTGAAATTGAAGTCACAGTAAAACATATTCTTTTGAACTTTCTGTTCATCAAAGAATCCTGAAAATAAAATAAGCAGCTTAGCTGATTTCAACATGGATAATAATAAGAAATAAAATGTGGAGCAGCAAATCAGTATATTAAAATGATTTCTGAAAGATCATGTGACACTGAGGACTGGAAAATTCAGCTTTGCCATCACAGTAATAAATAACATTTTAAAATGTATTCAAATAGAAAAAAGTTATTTTAAATTGTACGACTATTTCACAGTATTCCAGTTTTTACTGTATTTTAGATCACATAAATGCAGCCTTAGTGAGACTTCAAAAACATAAAAAAAAAAATTCTTGCCAACCCTGAACTTTTGAATAGTACTGTATACCATTTATCATTTGTGCATTTACAAGAATGATGTTTAGATCTAAAATTTGCCGCTTGGTTAGCATTATCCAGTAGCACACATGGCATAGGTGAAGTCAACAGAAAACAAAAGCGGACTTTCTACAGGAAGGTATTGCATTTTAAACATTTTCTGGAATAACGTGCACTGATGAATTACACACCATAAGATAAACTGGGTCAGTTCTGAGTTCATGTTGACTTTAAGCGGTCACTGTGTTAAAATGTGCCAACTACATTTCCGTGCTCTGCGACGGAGCCAGTGCTGGAAATAACTGCTTATAATGACCTTGAATGAAGCTAGTCACACAACCCCTAGCTGAGATGTTTCATAGATGTTGCAAATGTGCCATACGTGTGTGTGTGTGTGTGTGTGTGGTACTAGCTTTGAAAGCAGAGTGAGCGAAGCGTAGGACGTTTCTGCATTAATTGAGCTCCAATTAGTGTGTTTTGGCCCTGAGAATGTGGTGGCAGTGAAAGAGACACGGAAAGACGAAGGTTACCACAGTGTCATGCTTTAGGCAATCTGTCCTGTTTTTCTATTTTTTCCACTGTATGTTTGTACATATTCCTAAATGAGCAAAGCATTTTAAAGAAAAATTCAAAGCAGGTTCTTCTAATGGTAGACTTTGCAAACTGCATGCCCATGTTCACGTTTTAAGAATATTTTTTTTGAATAATCTGACTTTAATATCAGACTTGTGTGCAGTTGAAGAGTTCAGATGTTTTGGTCTTGTGACAGTGAAAGTTAGTAAATGGTGTCAGCTGACCGATTCTCCCATAATGCATTTAGCTCTGTTATTTTGTGTGTGACCTGCTTAATGCAAAGCAGAGGGAGATTGTGAATCACAGAGCAAAGGAGCACAACTCTTCTGTGTGTGCCATCATTCTGACACTGTTGAAACAGACATAAGCCTGTTCTGAGATGACACGAGTCAAGAGTGGGCTAGACATTTAAATTCAGTGCTGTAAAAAGTAGTATTTGTATAGTGGTAATTTTATGCAGTTTGATTTCATTTTAAAGCAGCAGATTTTATTTTATTTTATTTTATTGTGAGAAATGTTTTTATACATAACAGAATTTTTTCATTAAAGGGATAGTCTACCCAAAAAATTAACATTATTTACTCACCCTCATGTTGATCCAAATCTGTATGACTTTCTTTCTTCTGTGGAACATGGAGAAAAAAAAAGGTATTTTAAAGAATGTTGGTGACCAAACAGTTCCCATTGGTTCCATTTGTCCTCTATTGTATGGCCAAAAAAAGTACAATTGAACTGGATATGAAGAAAGAAGAATAAATAAGATGATACAGGTTTGGAACAACATGAGGGTGAATAAAATGTAAATTTTTGGGTGAACTATTACCTTATGGTCCATATGCTGTTTAAGCCTTTATTTACAGCAGTTGCTGTATTTGTGTATAATATTGGCTTAAAAAAGGTCATCGGATGCTACATGCACTTTTACAAGTTGTTTGAACTGAAATGTGTGTTGGCAGTGTGTGTACACAACCACCCTATAATGATAAAAATCCACCCAGTGTTTTTTTTTTTTAATCTACTACCCCTTTCTCGAATCGAGCCGATCTTTGTCCTCTATTGTATGGCCAAAAAAGTACAATTGAACTGGATATGAAGAAAGAAGAATAAAGAAGATGATACAGGTTTGGAACAACATGAGGGTGAATAAAATGTAAATTTTTGGGTGAACTATTACCTTATGGTCCATATGCTGTTTAAGCCTTTATTTACAGCAGTTGCTGTATTTGTGTATAATATTGGCTTAAAAAAGGTCATCGGATGCTACATGCACTTTTACAAGTTGTTTGAACTGAAATGTGTGTTGGCAGTGTGTGTACACAACCACCCTATAATGATAAAAATCCACCCAGTGTTTTTTTTTTTTAATCTACTCCCCCTTTCTCGAATCGAGCCGATCTCAGATGCCTGTCTGTGTGACATCACAAAAACAGGCCCCTCCCACGATAGTTTGATTGACAGTAGCGTTTCAGCACAGACTGGACTGGCGTCTTACCTTAGACCCGCCCAGAGTGAGCTGCCATTAGTCCGCCATTGTTTCACTTCCAGAGCAGATGTAAACAAGAATGACTCCTAAGCGATTGAGGTGTTTTGTTGTTGGATGTAATAATGAACATAGCAGTCGTCATTTACTCCCGACATCTGAGCCGCTGAAGATGCAGAGGATTACGTTTGTTTTTGAAGGGAATGTGCCCCCGATCTACATAAATGTGTCTATGTTCTCGCAAATCATTCGTGATCCAGCTTCACCTACAGAAGAAGTGAGTATAAGGTTTTTTAATGAATCTAATTGGCAAGTTTCACAATGAATGCAGCTAAAGTAAACAGTCCCTCAGAGAGCGGCTCAGAAAAGAGGGGCGGGGGCAGCATAGCTCATTAAAATTTAAAGGAAAATGCTATAAAACGGCTTGCTCTGAAAAGAGCTGTTTTTGACAGGGTAAAAAAAGGTGTTTTTTACCCTACTTTTGAGAAATTTTAACCAAACTATGTTTTGGCAAGTTTCACAATGAATGCAGCTAAAGTAAACAGTCCCTCAGAGAGCGGCTCAGAAAAGAGGGGCGGGGTCAGCATAGCTCATTAAAATTTAAAGGAAAATGCTATAAAACGGCTTGCTCTGAAAAGAGCTGTTTTTGACAGGGTAAAAAATGTGTTTTTTACACTACCATTGAAAAATTTGAACCAAACTATGTTACATACTTTTCATCAAGACCCTAAAGAGTCATATCAACTTGTGGAAAATGGGCATCCTATGACCCCTTTAATGAAATACTAGCCTAATCAGGCATGTTTACATGATGAATACAAGATACAAATATGACCAATAACAACTGGAATTATCTTACAATCACATGATGACTGTATTTAATAACAGAGGGAAAAAACACTGACAAGGTGCAATATGAAACAGGCATGATGTGTTTATTGGTGGGCTCTCATAGGGTGGTCATCTGAGACTAATGATAGCTGTTATTCTGCCGTGGAGAAATAATCGCTTAAATATGGACGTTAAGAGGAACTGAGAGGGGCCACAAACCCTGAGGGCAGAAAGTTGTTCTAGAGTTTCCTAATGACTTGAGGGCGACAGCAAGATTATTTCTGACCAAAGTTTTGCAGTTCATTGTCATATGGTCTGTTTCTGGACAGTACCTGCTCAACTTTTTCTCTCTCTCAACTTTCAGTTCTATAACCGTGGTCTTTTTTCCAACCTATCCCCTTCTCGGCCCCTCTCTTTCCTCTCTCTACCTATTGGAAGTCATTAGTGGTCTGACCCACTTCTCTCTGGCTTGCATGGCTAATTGGACCTTAATCACTTCCTAATTACCGCTTTATTTCTGTGCCGCTCATTAAATGCCAAACGGAATGAGATGGGAACAGTGTTTTTCCCCCCATGTCAGATCGTTTAATAAAATATACAGATAAACACTGAACCTGAAAAATAATAAAACATTTGAGTGTAATCAGTGGATTTTTAGTCAAAACCTTTACATTCAGTCTTAACATGTGCTTACCAGAAGTTTGTTGCTAATATTATGTCAAATAATATTTCTGTCTGTTTAAAATGATATATATATCTGAATAAACGGCGCATAAAGTATCTGTGAGAAATATCCAGCACACCGACTAGGCACTCAGTGGGATAAACCTATAGTTTTTTATCTCATTTGTAATGTGCAGCATTAGTAGGCCTATATGCTCAGATGATTTAGAGTTGTGTTTAGAGTTTTTGGGCACTTCAGCCTTTTTTTCTGGGTCTTGACCACCGGCCGGCTAACAGAGCGAGTGTGTTGAGAGTGATCTAGAGGCTCAGAGGGAGGGGGCTGGACAGAAGGACAGCGGGGTTTCTGTGCGAGAACTGTTTGCAGTTAGTGTTTTATTTGCAGTGTAGCTCCTCGACTACTGAGACACTACAGGCTGGACTGACGGTGAAACCAGCGCACTTTAACAAATGGACCTGCCAGGTGAATGAGATACAGATAGCATGCTGATTTCATTTTAATTTTTATGTTTTTCTTTGCTTTTTATAAACAGATTTTTTACTACAGTGAAGAGGAACATTTTCCATGATTATAATTGACATTTTTAGACTATTTCATATGAGCAATACATGTCATTCTGCAAGGTTTGGCTGATTTAACCATTTGTTTTCAAGGACTTTTTTATAACTCTGTTGTGCTAGAATGCATGTCTGTTTATTTCATCAATTAACACTGGCTAATTATAGATTTTAATGCATTATTTAACATTTCGGTTTTGGTATGGTTTATATTTCATGTCAGTTATTTAAAGGAAGTTCTGATTGTGTATGTCACACAGAGCACAAAAGCTAAATTTGGCCTCCAGTGTTTGAATGGGCATTAAAGTCTTACTCGCTGTGTTAGTGTAAACAGTTTAGAATGGATCTCAGTCGGCTGTCTGCTGCTTACTATTAGAATAACATTAGCTTAGGAGTAGCTAGCCTTTTATGGCCAGGGAGAACAGTTTCAATATTCATCTCCGGTTAAACTTTCAAAACTTTTCTCCTGTTTTCCGTAGCCTTTGATTAAGTTTGCTTTAATTTTGACTTTATTTCCCTGCTTCCCAGGTTCTTTTTTCCACAACATCTATTTGGTTTTCAGATCTGATCTTTTGGACTGACTGTTCATCAGTGTTGTTGTTGTATCTGTTGCTATAGTAATGATGAATGTGTCAGAGCAGTGCCAAGAAACTTTCTCATATATGATGTTATGTGTTCCATAATTATGAAAAACCACATGAAATCTGATCAGACTTTGACTCATTTGCAAAAATTAGATTTTGATTGGATTTCAAACACATATCGATGCGGTGTGTCTGCAAAAATGCATAGATGTAAATGTAACTTACGTTTAAGTAGTAAGATTACTAAAACTGAAATAAAAATAAATGGAACTTAAATAGAATGTTAAAAAGAACGTTTAAAATGAAAAAAGCACATAAAAAACCCAAAACAAACTAAAATACCAAACATGGAATCCGAACCATTTCTTGACCTATCCATTTTTATAGAACAATGTTTTTATATATATATATATATATATATATATATATATATATATATATATTGTGTTCAGTTGCCGTGTGTTTTTTTTGTATTTCATATATTATGTTTTTTTTGCCCATCTTGACCAGGACTCTTATTGTATTTCATTGGGACCTTCCTGGTGAAATAAATGATAAAAAATAGGAAGAAAATAAATGTTAATTCAAAATTTGAACAAATCCTATAATAGTGTATACACTAAAATAACATTGGACCAACTTTCCTGGTTTTAAGAGGATTCAAAATCTGATTTAATTCAAATTCAGATTTCATGGTACAAATATGAATGTGAGTATGAACTGCTCTTCTCTCACATATGCAGTCCAACTTTCTCCATGACTGTTTTATCCTGTCTCTCTGATTTTGCTGTGTTTCACTGTCACCTCATGTCATTTCCTCACCAGAATCATCAGAGTGTGTCTCCTCACATGGCGTGACTGAGCACACTCTGTCATCCCTGGCGTCCGCCTGCACCTCTGTTAGCACCAGCACTGTGGCATCTTCATCTTCATCATCAGCCATCCCCCAGCCCAACTCGAGTAGCAAACCCTGGAGAAGCAAATCTCAGAGCACCAAGCACACTGCTACCTCCACCGCTACCTCCACGGTGCTTTCCATCAAATCAGATCTCCAAGCCAAGGAGCCCGTGCCTGCAGAGCCGCCACCAAAAGCTGTGCCTCAAAAGTCCATGCTGGAGAAACTCAAACTTTTCAACAGCAAAGGAGGCTCCAAGTCATCCACGCAAGCAGAGAGCGCCGTTACGCCGACAGGAGGAAAAGATGGCGGTTTGGTTTTAGAAAGAGTCGAGGCTGGTTCCAATACAAAACCCACTGAGGAAATGGATGGGAATGTCAGGCCCACGAACGGATCGAGTGCCGTTATGATGACAACCAGCAGCCCAAAGATTGCACTAAAGGGCATTGCGCAACGGACATTTAGCCGGGCGCTCACAGGAAAAAAAGCCTCAACTAAAGCCATAGATAAAGAAAAAGAACGAGCTAAAGAAAAAGACAAAAATGGGAAAGAGGGGTCAAGGTGTGTCCCTTCCTCCGAAAAGGTAGAGATCAAAGAGGAAGTTAGGGAGGAAGTTGTTCCCTCAAGCAGAGTTGCTCCCTCCGAGGCAGAGCCCAGGAAAGCCTCCAAGATCGCCAGCTTCATACCCAAAGGCGGCAAAGTGGGCGGTACCAAGAAAGATAGCCCCGCCCCTGTGCAAAGCGGAATTCCAAAACCAGGAAGTAAAAACACTGGAAATGGAGCGGTAAAAAGTTCAGCGTTGCCCCTCAGTGGTAAAGACAATGAGAGGCCCCGCAGTATGCGTCTGGGAGGGGGTCTGGGACTTCATAGGGACAGCCGACATTCCTCGTCCTCTTCCAGCCTGGCTTCCGCCGAGGGGAAAGGACACCACAGCGCCGCCCCGGTGGCCAACGGAACACAATCCACGGCCAGCAACACAGTCAGTGTGCAGCTGCCTCAGCCACAGCAGCAGTACAGCCACCCCAACACAGCCACCGTAGCACCCTTCATGTACAGGTGAGACTCGTCCTGGTATTTTCATCTGGAGGATGATAAAACAGGCCAAAATACATAGATTTAGATCAAAGGAGAAATTCGAGCCAGATCTAGAGATTATGGGGGGGTCTTTTGACTTAGACCAGTAAGTAGTAGTTTTGTTTTTGTTTTTTTGTTAACTGAAACTAGACTATTAAAAAAGGTTTTTGTTAATTGAAACAAAGCTGAAATAATACTAAATATAAATATTAGACGGAAAAACTTAAACTTAAAAAAATTAGGTATGTCTCTTTGGCAACAAACTGAAATAAAATAAGCTGAAGTGCCTAAGTTACTAAAAATAAAACTGAAATAAAAATAAATATTAAAATAAAATATATAAAAATAGAAATAAAACTAATAAAAATAAACTCACGTTAAAAACAAAAATAAACTCTAAATCAAAATGTTAATAAAAATAATAACAGTATATCTGTAATAATAAACTAACACTGGACTATTCAAACCGAAACACATTTCTCATTTTTCAAAGTCTGATTTTTAATTCAAATCCTGTGATATGTGGTTTGAAATAGGTGTGATTTCATCTGTATTTTGCTGTTAACTCAAATTGATACTCCAAAAAAAAAAAAAGCAGTAGCTTAAATTTTCTTCTCTCACAAATGCAGTCCAAAAAAATGAAGAAAAAAAGAATGTTAGAAATGTTACCTTGGCAACTAACTAAAATAAGTTTAATTTGAATTACTAAAACTAAAAAATACTAGAATTAAAACTGAAATAATAAAAGCTAATAGTGAAAAATTGATAAAACAAGCTAAAATGGAAATGAATACTGAAGATATAACAATCAAATTCTAAATATTAATAAATGTATAGTAAAATTTGCTTAAAATCTCTCACAAGACCTTAGTAGCAGAATAGCAACCTCCTGACAACCACCCAAAACCAAAACACATACTGTACCATCATGCTACAAACATGCTAAAGAGCATCTTACTAACAACATAACACAAGATGATATTGATTTGTACTGAAAAAAACTCTAGTGAAATCTTAATGCATGCATGTAGCACATAGCAGATAGACAGATAAATAAAATGGATTCATGCCAAAACATTTGTATTTGATTTATGAGTCTGCCACTGTAAAACTCATTGTGAACGGCTGTGGTAAGTGTGCATGCGTGCTCACATGTGTATGACTCCCCGTCAGGCTCAGCTGTGAAGCGTTTGACTGGTATTTCCTCTGAAACAGACCTGTTGCCCTGTGTTTATTTTCCATGAAGGATTCCTTTAGTCAGGCCAGGACTTCTGCTGACTAGAATGTCACAGAAAATGTGTATGCATGTACATGAATGGCATCTTTTTTTTATTTTAACCCCTGTGTTTTTAGGTCTCAGAATGAGGCAGATGGAAACATTGGCACAATCCCAAGCTGTGGATGTCGTAGTAGTGACTCCAGTAGCTTCAGTAAGATCAACCAGTCTTCTACTGAGGACCTGTCAGGTAACCTGTTCATTTCATATTTGATGAAGTTTAAAACATCTGATATTCTAAGACCTTTTCCTTTTAGTAATTATAATAATCAATGCACCATTATGCACCACCATATTGTCACATGATGCTTCAGAAATCATTTTAATATGCTGATTTGTTGCTCAAGAAACATTTATTATTGGCAGTCAGTGTTGAAAACAATAGTTAGCATTGTTTGATGAACAGAAAATTCAAAAGAAGAGCATTTATTTGAAAAACAAATCTTACCCAAACTCTTGAACCGTGTTTAAATACTGATATATGTGAAAATGCATGCCCTGTTTTCAGGTGAAGATCCAGAGACCAGACGTCTGAGGACTGTCAAAAATATTGCTGACCTGCGGCAGAATTTAGAAGAGACCATGTCAAGTTTGCGGGGGACGCAAATCACACACAGGTAGATGCATCTATTTCTTACTTTTCACAGTCTGATGTTGCAGGAGAACTTTCAAAAAGTGGCTAAGATAAGAAGATGGTTCTTTGGTAAACCGTGAAGCTTTAACAGTGAGGGAAAAAGCAGATTATTCCCCAATTCAACAGGCAAAGACACAGGCTGCCATAAAAGGACACTTTTTTCTCACAGTATTTTATCTTTTGAGACAATAACAAGTATCCATTCCTTCCTCGGCTTGACTCTTTTAACAGTAAATGACTAATTGAATAGAGTCTGTCCACCAGCTCTACCATGCTCTTTCCATCTCTATTCTTAAAACCTTCTTTGTTCCTCTTTTTTGATTATTCATCTGAGTGACCCAGACTGCATTGCTATGATGGCATCATGCTGTAATTGTGAACTGCTTAAAAAGTCCATTTTAGGGCAAAATGAGAGCAGCAAGGCATTTTTGTTTCCTGAGGTTTCAGGATATTGGTTACAATTCCTCAGTACGCATAAAACCTTTCCTCATATTATAAGTTAAGTAAATATTGTAATTGAATTCTATTTGGTGAAAAATACCATAGTAACTGTGGTTTCCTGGAATTAACTATAGTACAACAGCCTAGAAATGTTGGTCAAACTTGGTACAAGCCACTACTGTAATAAAAACAACTAATAACATGGTATTTTTGAAGAAACTATAGATATGTACCATGGTATAACTATTGATACCATGGTACATTTTAGCTTTAAAAGGTCATATGAATTTGATTTTATATTGACTTTTAATGTGTCAATATATGAATTTGTGTGAATTTTAAATGGTCTTTGTCTCTCAGCACACTGGAGACCACTTTTGATGGTAGCGTTACTACTGAAATGAGCAGTCGCAGCATCCTCAGCATGGCATCTCGCCCCGCGCCGCTGTCCTGGGCCAGTCGCATAGGCCAGTCCAGCCCCCGTCTACAAGCAGGAGATGCTCCCTCGGTTGGTAACGGGTATCAGTCCCGCAGCGGAGGTGTGGCGTCCGGCCAGGGCCGTTATCTGTACCAGGCTCCTCTACGGAAGCAGCTGGCAGCGCGTGGCAGCGCCCTCTGTGGCCTGGAGCTGGGAGACAGGGTGGAGGATCTGGAGCTGGCAGGTGTGGGGCTGGAAATGAGTGGCTACATGAGTGATGGAGACGTGTTGGCTAAGAACGCCCGCTCTGATGAGCTGACCAGCGGGTAAGTGTGGAAGATGATTGGCACTGGTTAAGATGGATGACTAATGGGTTTTTTCCAACGGCTGATAATTATGGGCGTTTTCAGTATGTCGTTAAGTGGAGATGAAAGGAAAATTAAAAGGCAATTTAAAGGTACACCTCATAATTTACACATGTGGTAATTCTTTGTTGGTCCTAGATTATTATTAACCAATTATTGTGTAAATTATGTCAAGTGCCTAAAGGAAGCAGATTTGGTGTAAAGATATCTCTGTTAAAGGTCAGTTCAGTTTACTGTAATGAGTGTTGTCATGTTCATAAATTTGTACATTACCATATAAAACTAATCAAATGGATCATGCTTGCTGTGAAGACTTGTGAAAATCTCTGTGGATATTTGCAGGGTGGATTTATTGCAGCCACTAGAGGGTGATATGGTTCTCTAAATATTAATTCACTTTTTCTAAGGTCACTTTTCTTAGGTAATTTCTTAGGTCACTTTTCTTAGGTCTAATTCATATTCATATTGATATTATAAATCAATGCATGACTACCAGGTCAGAAATTAACTTTTCAATTTTGGAGCAATAGATTTCCAGGGGATTTTTTAACCTATGTAAGAAGAGTTTTTGTGGTTACCTTTTTAAATGTATTGAGCAGAGTTAACCAAATTTACATTTAGGCATTGTTTTAGTAAATGCACAGATTCAGAAAAGGATATACCATTCAAATGTTTGGGGTCATACGATAATGTTTTTGAACGATGTTTTTTTTAAGCTCACCAAAAGATACAGTAAGAATACAGTAAAAACAATATTATGAAATAATATTAGAATTTAAAAATGCTTTCTATTATTATATTCATTAATTCATATTAAAATTATTAATTATATGATCAAATGTAATATAAGAATATTTTAAAATATGGTAAAGCTGAATTTTCAGCATCATACTTCAGTCTTCAGTGTCACATGATCCTTTAGAAATCATTCTAATATGGTGATTTGATGCTTAAGAAACATTTATTATTATCAATGTGGTGCAGTTAACAAAAACAGCATTTATTTGAAATACATATTTTTTTGTATCATTTTGAATGTCTTAACTTTTAATTAATTAGATGCCTCTGAATAAAAATATTAGTTTAGCGCACACACATTAGTAAATAAAAAATGTTCTAACCCCAAACTTTGGACGATATTGTATTTCACTAATATCATCATGTAATAGTAGACGTTTGCCTTTTTTAGCGCTCTTAAAGGGATAGTTCACCCAAAAATGAAGATGATTTACTGACCCTCAAGTTTTTGCAAACCTGTGTGGATTTTTTTCTTCTCGTGAAAACAAAGGAAGATATTTTGAAGAATGTTGGTAACCAAACAGTTGCTGGTAGCCATTGACTTCCATATAATTTTTTTTTCTCCATACTATAGAAGACAGTGGAGTCCATAAACTGTTTGGTTACCCATATTCTTCAAAATGTCTTATTTTATGTTCAACAGAACAAAAAAAGAAACTCATACAGGTTTGGAATAACATGAGAGTAAATGATGGCACAATTTTAATTTCTGAGTAAACTATCCTTATAAATCCATTTATGGATTTACTTCAAAGCTCAGGATAGACACTAGAGAAGGATTTGGGACTTTGTGTTTTTCTGTTGACATTAGTGTGAATCAGCATTGTCCTGATTCACTGAATCAATTCTCACGGGGAGATGTGAATCCAGTTGTCTTTCAGATACACATATGACGTCTAATGAACACATTAAATGCAATGAATACTGTCACCTTGAGGCTCTGGTCCTTAGGCGGTAATAAAAGCAGCTTTAGTGCATGTGCTCTCCTCTGTACTTAGTGTACAGATTGAAGGGGCAATGTAACACAGATTTAACGCCCCCCTTCATGCTGAAACAAGCTCTCTGCATACCTTAGCTGTGATAATGTGCAATTTAAACCTCTTGTGTTATTATTTCCCCACAATCACAGTCTTCCTGTGTGGCTTGAACACTACAAACTGTTCTAGTGCTTCTAACATTACCAGATTATAGAGAACGGGCCAGGTGACAGGCTGCAATAACACCTGGCCATTAGCCTGGTGTCTGGATGTAAATATCACTTAGATAGTCATTAATAAACGTCTGACAAAATCCAGGCATCAAAAACATGTCAAATTCACTATTTTGCTCACTTTTACTGCACTCGTTTGGGTGCTATTGTAAATCTGACATTTTGAATGTGAAGTTCTTAACACTGACACTTAACTGAAAAAAGGAATCCCCTGTGTGCTTTGATAAATGTCTCTTAAACTAGAGCATCTCCTGCACAATGGATGATATCATGAGCATTGAGGGAAGTGAGATTGCTATTGGAGGGCTATATAGATCTTGAAGTGCACTAACATGTTTGAACCAGATCCCTCACGGAAAGAGGCTCTCATGATACTGCTGTTGGATCTGATTTCCCAGGTTTCAAAGTGGTTATTTTCTCAGTCCAATCAGGACTGACGGGTTAAAGACTTCGCCCCAGGCTGCTTTATATATGAACACATACAGGTTGAGCTAATATGATCTCTTTCCTCTGTTCATGACAGCACTTTGATAATGGAGGGACAGGTTTGTCACATTACATCATATGTATCACGCTGAAATGAATATGCTCTTTATTGGAAAGACGCTGACATATGACTGACATTGGGGTTACAGCATCTGTAAAGCTATTGAGATTTCTGTAAAGCAAATAATCATCTGAAATAAGATGGGAATGCTATAAATCATGTAACGTGTGTCTATAGCCTTACCAAAAATAAGTATATTTTAAGTTTATTTTATTAAGTATACTTAAGTAAAGTTCAAGTATATTTTAAGTATACTTTGTGTAGTAAGTTTACAAATATCAGTGTACTAGTAGTATACTAAAACCTAGTATACTAGTAAGTGTACTATTTCAATACTCCTTGGGACTAAATTGGCCCACTTTCTAGTATATAAAAGTATACTTTTAAGAATAACAGTAGTAAACTTTGAGTACACAACTAGTTTACATATATGTTTTTAGTTTGTACTGCAACTATACTAAAAGTGAACTTATAGGTATACTGATAGTTTACTAATGCTTGTAGCATTTTTAGTACACTTTGAAGTATAGTCTCAGTAAACTTCTAGTTCAGTAGTTGTATACTGCAAGTATACTCGTAAGTTTTCTTTAAGTGAACTTTACATCATACTTTAAGTATATTACTATGTCCCTATTTAGGTATTAATTTGTATATATTTTATTATGTGAATATCTGAACATACAAACATCAAAAGAAAGTACAGGGTATCTGCATGTAAACAAAAATGTTTATTCTTTTTTGTAAACACTTGAATGTGAGTAAGTTTTATTTAAAAAAATAAAAAAATAAATAAACAACATTTTGAACAAAAAGCTGAAAATAGACTATGAATTGGATTCAGAGTGATAATCAAAATGTAGATGGAGTCGATCAACACCCCAAAGCTTGCCAGTCATTACCTCTTCATGGGCTGACATTTTATTCCATAACGTTACACAGTTTTGATGCTGTTTTATTTCTGATGATCGTCAAGTCAAGTCACCTTTATTTATATAGCGCTTTTAACAATACAGATTGTGACAAAGCAACTGAACAGCATTAATTAGGAAAATAGTGTCAATAATGCAAAATGACAATAGTAAACACTAACTTTTCAGTTAAAGACAGTTCATCATTGAATTCAGTGATGTCAACATCCAGCTCAGTTTAAATAATATCTTTGCAATCATGTCAACGATATCGCTGGAAATGAAGTGTCCCCAACTAAGCAAGCCAGAGGCGACAGCGGCAAGGAACCAAAACTCCATCGGTGACAGAATGGAGAAAAAACCTTGGGAGAAACCAGGCTCAGTCGGGGGGCCAGTTCTCCTCTGACCAGACGAACCAGCAGTACGGAAAAATCAATATAAGACGTAATAAAACAGACGATGAATAATATTAACAGCAATTATTATATGATGCAATCAAACTTATAGCAAAATGTGGTAGTTCTGTATGTTGTTTCAGGGTTGGCATCATCTGAGGTCTTCTGAGGGGTTGGCATCATCTCTTCTCAGGTGTTCTGGATCCAGACTGAAGCTTGTGTAAATCCTAGTTACATCCCGTGGCAAAAAACCACGTGTTAGATTACACGTGGAAGCATCTGTTGTTTCGGTTTCTTCTTCGCTTGTTTCTGTACAGAAGAAGTGTAATAGCGCCCCTTACCGTATAACAATAAAAACATGGATTCCCGGAGCACAAGTATAGCTTGATATATATTTAGACTTTTTCTAAGTATAAGTCAAGTATACTTAAATGTCATTTTAAGTATATTTCTGAGAAGTACATAAAATGTACACTGAAAGTATACTTTCCTATTTTTTAGCTTAAAAGAAGTATACTAATAGCACACATGAATAAACTTATTTTTCGTAAGGGTAGCTAGTCTGAAGGCATTTATAGCTTGTAGTTTGTTTGGTATTTGCGCAGTTATGTTGGTTTTTGTTCAGAAATACAATGGTTTTGCTTTAGCAGGTTAGAAAACACATGCTAAGACCTTGGTGTTCGTCTAAACACACATTATACAGTAGCTGTCAGATCATGAACACTTTATATCATCAGGTCTTGTTTACATAGAAACACACACACACACGTTCGCACACATTTCATAGTTTTAAAGTGTGAATTAAATTAGAAGATTGTCTGATTTTCTCATATTCATGTTTTCGGGATTTTTAAAAAATAATTTTTAAACTATCATTATATTTTTTATTGGCTGTAGTTTTGTATTTGAATTTGATCTGTTTTCATTTTTAAAGATTTTTATTGATTGAAAAAAATTTTATTCCTTGATATATCACCCAGATTTCACCAGAAAAAAAGAAGATGAATTATCTTTAGCATAAATAAAATCAAGCCTGATTTGGGTTATTGATTTTTTTTTCAGTCATTTTTCGAATTTGAATTCTTGACTTAATATAATATAAT